CCCCGATCAGTTATAATATCAGAACGGTTTCACTTGCTCGACTTTAAAGTGAAATCAGTATTTGTTCGACTAAGTGTTATTATGTGACTTATGTGGTTATATGTGCTTATTTGCCTTAATGTTCCATGTATGTTAGACTATTTCATTTACTAAGTTCGACATTTTTTGATTCGTGCCGGATCGTCAATTCTCTCGCGTCGAACCCGAGCCTAGTGTCGAGCCGTGGCTCATTGTGGCCCTTTTTCCTTTCAAGTTCAAGATCATGCATGTATATTAGAGGGTGATTATATAATTTTAAGTTAAGTTTCAGCCTAAGCCATGCATAAGAATGATTAGCTCAAGTCATCCATCATTAGCAATATTTTATGCTAAGCTAGCATGTGCATTGAGTTTAATATTGAAAGGTGTTAAAGACCATGTTACTTCTCCACCTTAAGTGCTTGACCAGACCTCCTTATTCACTCAAGATTCTCTGAAAAATCATGCATTCCCACCCAATATTCCATCCAAAATCGTGCCAAGACCATGCCCCAAAGACCAATGCACATAGGAAAGTGTAGTCATCACATTTGTCCACCATTTTCCCTCCTAAGTATTAACGCCCTTAGACCAGCTTTTAAGATATCACTTCAGCTTCTTAGAGACCTCATTTAGCACTTGGAAACTCAGAAAATTTCGAGCATAATCCCCTCCAAGAGTGGCAAAAACCGAGAGCTAAATCAAGATGCCGAGAGTGAACCTTGTGCTACCCGAGTGCTTTGTTGTTGAGTGTTCTTGAGTTCTAGCTAGTATTTTCGAGAACCCCAACTATATATTCATCTTCCACCATCCTACTCTCATCCTAGAAGCATTTAGTGCCAGCAAATTCAAGAAATCAATCAAAAGAAAGCAAGAAGCCGCAGCTATACGAGGACCGAGCAAGAGCGAGTATACCCGAGTTTCTTTGCATTTTTTCTTGAAGTTTAAGAGGTTGGTGTGTTCAAATCTTCTTAAAATCATAATATAGATGAGATAAGGAGTTGATTTATATAGATATGTGCCATATATGTTCAGTTATAAAGGATATATAAGCATGCAAAATAAATAAATGCTTCCAGCTCACTTGCATGTTCCATATGTCATGTTTTTGTATGTTTTTTTCTATGCTATGAAAAACCTGGGAAACTATGCTTTATATAGATGTTTCTTGTGTAAAACAGGAGTTCATAAGATCAAGAATCAAGTCAATTATCCTAGTATAACTCGGGTTATTGATTTTTAAAGTTAGACATGCAAGTTGAACTTTACATGCACGAATTCAGCTACGACTTCAAACGCGAATAACTCGAGTTCTACTTAGGATAAAATTATAAAATTTTTTGGACATGTTTATATATGTGCTATGAGTCTGCATACCAAATGTTATGATTTTATCTTAAGAATTGAGTGAGTTATGATTTTTACAAAAAGATTTTGCAAGCAGTTTTTGAAATTTCGGGCAGAATTGAGAATCATGATATTGGGCCGTTTTTGACAATCTTAATGTGACTATGTGAAAATATTATCAACATAAAACTTGTAGTAT